TCCGCTTCGCCCTGTTACGAGCCTCAGTAACCGCGGCTTGCACCTTCTCGTCCCTCCTCATTTCTTGTTCACTGTGTCCAATCACGTTAACCTTTAGCCTCACCCCTCCCGATTTTCCGTAGGACAGTATGACCTTCACCATAGTACCCTTTTCGTCCTCTCGTTCCCAAATCCAAGAGTAGTACCTCATGTACCTTGGCCTATATCCACGCAGGCCATCTCAATCCGCCATATTCACTCAGAATAGTTAGTCCCCGCTTGATAGACAGCACAGCACTAGGCCGCCGACTTCCAATAGCAGACCACTCCCCACCGGAGCTCGCAATACAGACTGTGTACCACCAGGCGACCGGCCGCGGACGATATCCCGACCCCTCCTTCCTTTTATATGCCTTTCCCCTGCGTTCTGAACAAAGGACTCAGATTAGTCCTTTTGAGACCTTACCGCATTTCAAGAATTTTAAAGCAATAAACTAATAATTAATTTTTTATTTTTATTTTTGGGAATAATACTCAAACCCAAAAACCCAACGGTTGATCGCGAACTAAACTCGCACTTGTCCGTCCTAGACCCTAGCGATATGACTGCAGGTTCGACACTGTGGTCCCATAACGGAATACTAAAGGTCACATTTCCCTTTTTAAAACGCAACACAGGCCTATATTCATCGGGTACCCGTGTCCGATGGCAAGGAGGGGGCTTACAACCCTTCACGAGGGGGGTAATAAGCCTCCTACCAACGCGGCCGCGGGTGCTCCTCTTTTGAGGCCTAACCGCGCTGCACTCAACTGGCACGCATTCCTAGACAAAAATAGGTGGGGCCAGCCTCAAAATTCAAACCGTTGGCCTCCTCGCGATATGACAGACAATGGAGGGGAAGGCCGCGCCTGAAAACCGGTAAGGTAATAATAATAATAATAATAATAATAATAATAATAATAATAATAATAAAACGTAACGACAGTATGACTGGAGGCTGTCTGATTTCTCCGACTTAAAGCCGACATTTCAGCCACTAAGATTAGACCTTTAGCTGTCGTTTCACTTTTTTTTTTTCTTACTTGAACCACCGCTCCATGCATCCGACCCATAACCTAGCAGTGGGATACTCGGGGCTCAGTAGAAACGACAGCGCTTATCCGTTTACTTTCGCGTCCCAGGGCGAACCCGACGGCCATCACGGCCACAGGCCGGTTGTGCTCTGCTGTATAGCAGGGCGCCGAGCCTGCGTGGACCAATGGAAAGCCCTGCGGCGCACCCCTTTTGCTGAGGGCTACGCCACCGGGGCTGGTCCACGCCGAGAATAATCTAGGTACCAGACCTAAACAACACGAGATAAGCCTAGGGATCAGTAAGTCGGGGCAAGGGACTGACACTGAGCGAGGAAGTGGTACACAAAGGAGGGTCGGGACACCGTGCCCTCCAACACTGCTGCCCGACCTACTAGGTGTTGCCGAACGACGAAGCGATGAGTGAGCAGGGGGAAGGGGACTTGCCTGTTCGCGAACGTGTTGCTCCAGAGCTGGCAACCGGGTGCCCACACCCGCACCCACCTGCCCCAACCCGCCCAGAAGGTGAATGGGGTTGGGCTTGGGTCCACCTATGCCTTTTTGGGTGGGCAACGGGCGTGTTCCCGTAATGGGCGAGTCTGGGTGATGGGCGGGTCAGTTTTTGCTCTGGGTCACCCGACGGGCGGGTGACAGGGTGGGTCCATATCTTCTTTGGGTCACCCGGCCCACAGACCCAGGAACACCCAAAAAACTGTTGCCTCCCCCCCCCCCCCCCCCCCCCTCCCTCCCTCCCTCCCTCTTTAAAACTACGACCCCTTCGACATCAGCCACCCAGCCCCCCTCCCCCTGCAAAAAAAAAAAAAAAAGGCCTTGGGTCATCCTCTGCAGGGCGACCCGAGAATGAAAATCATTGTCCATCGCAGCCAACACAGCATCAGAGCCAAAAAAAAAAAAAAAAGAGTTATAGGCAGTGGGCAATAGTAAGCACAACGGCTCCAGCCCGTCGGCCCAAAGAAAGTAGTGAGCGGATCTGGCCACATAAGGCGGCTAGATCCCTCCATTTACACTTTCCCTGGCCTTACCGTTGCCCACCGAACGGCCACCGTTGCCCGATGTGAGGCTGGCGGGCGGCGTAAGGTGGAGAGCCTAGAGAATCGTGGAGGCTCTGGAGACATGACGGGCCTTGGCGGCAGTACTGGAGTCGCAGGGCAACGTCCGCCTCGGCGCGCACACACACACACACACACACACACACACACACACACACACACACACACACACACACAAAGAGAGAGAGAGAGAGACGTGGATGAAGCTACAACAAAGACGACCAACGAGGCTGCGGCCATATCTACGGGCTCTAACACACACACACACACACACACACACACACACACACACACACACACACAGACGTGGACGAAGCTACAACAAAGACGACGGGCTCAAACACAGCCAACGAGGCTGCGGGCCGCGGCGATATCAACGGGCTCTAACAGGCCAGTCTCTCTCTCTCTCTCTCTCTCTCTCTCTCTCTCTCTCTCTCTCTCTCTCTCTCTCTCTCTCTCTC